GTGATATCTCCCTCCATGAACGCTGGAGACGCAGGCTCGTCTGAGATGCATCTCCCAGAGCACCTGCCGGCACTGAATACTAATGACCCAGCTGAATTCTCCCTAGAATTAAAAGGATAAAAGCTTGACAAAACTCTTGAATCACACCACACTTGATGCTCACCTTATTATACAAAGAGTTGTGACTGTAGGGGCTATAAGGATTCTCATGAACATCACACGCGGTGGAAGACAAGTGGCTGAAAGGTCCAGGGTTTAGACAGTCAGCGAGAGAGAGGGATGAAGGACGCAAAGGGGACTTAGTTGGAGGGATCAGTTTAGTTGGATACAGAGGGTGTAGGAGAGCAGTCTCCTATGGAAAAAAAAAAATAAACAGAAACAGATTAATGGATGTGAAAAAAGAAGCTTTGGACAGAAAGTAAAGTGCTTGACTTGCACCTTTTTTTACATTTCATAGGGCTTGATGATTAACTACGAATGAAACTCTACCTTCAGGCCAATACAATTGCTCTACACTAAGCACTTTCATTGGCATGAAAGTACACACACAAAAGCCTGCTGTAGATGTCCCATTAAACCTGTTATGCTCCAACTGGGGTCCAGTGCATCTCCCTCCTGCAGCTCCACTGATGCTCAAGTGACAGAAAAGGAAAGCCCAGAAGGATCTTGTGCTAGGAGAAAATGGCCACATTTTGGGACATTTTCTGAGAGGATGGATAGGAAGCAAAACCAACCTGAAAACGGTGTCTGAGAGGTACAAAAGAAAGCCTGCTTTATCTATGTACTAGCAAGGGCACTTCAGGTTTTTTGACCAGACTCTAACAAGCCTTTTCAGACATTTAAGAGTTAAATTGGTGAAGGTGCACTCACAAATTTCACTACTGCAAGTTGTCAGCAGTTAATAGTGTTTCTGGTTAAAAAAACCCAATATGTATGTGCTTTTTGCACCTAAAGGATAAAATCCTTTAAAACAATTGATTTTTAAAAGATTTGCGATAGAGTCAAGAAGGCATACCCAGCTTTTGGCACAGATTTCGTGCTTAGGTTTTGTCAAGGCCGTTGACAATACATCCCAAATTCTTACCCGTTTGCCTGGCTGAGTCCAGACCAGAAACTCCCCTGCGTGCTGTGCCTGTGAGCTCAAGACCCAGAAAATTTGTGACAAGAGCTGCAATTAGTTCCAGCAGAAGCTAATGTATCACCTGCCAAAAGGACGAGCGGGAGCAAACGAGGGGATCGGAGCCTGGCAGCGGCGAGAGCTGCCCCTGGAAGGGAACCAGGCAACAGCCGCTCCACACCGACCTTGCCTCCCTCCTCAGAGGCACCAGCCCACCAGCCCTACTTCTATTAATGATAAACCTCAGCAAACTGGACTCACAGCTTCATGCCAAGTATAACTAATATCTCTTTAGTTCATCATTATCTTGCTCTTCCATTGCCTGAAGTGGTTTATTTTATTTTTAATGACAAAGGATCCTCTATGTACATGCTTGTTAATAAATATCTGCAAACGCATGAATTCTCTAACATTCTTTATCAGTTGTTTTCATATTACTATGTAACAAAATGCCCTGTTTTTTTCCCTGGAACCTCAGAAATACTGCACTCTGTTAAAAGTGTTTGATGGGGGATATTCACTGAATAGCCATTGTTACAAGCTGTATATGTCCTCAGGAAAAAAAAAAAAAAAAAAAAAAAAAAGGCAGCATAAGCTAATATGAGAAAAAGCCAAAATAAATGAGATTTTTCCCTGGTTTATAAATTTTATTGGCACACCAGTGTCACTCTACGTACAGCATACCCAGAACACAGATAAAAAGAGCTATCTGTGAGCTGAGCTACATCCTTTCCAGATGATCTTTAGTAATTTAGAAATCTCTTTTTGTTTCCATCCACTACTTTGGATTATCTGCATTAAAACAGCTGCCTGTTAAAGCAAAAATTACAGTTTTTTACAAGGGAAATGGCCTTTTCCATATGGGGATGTTTCTTAATGAAGTGCAAAGCAAACAAGCTACTCTCTGTTGTGCAAAAAACATGTGTGCAGAACACAGGAACGTGAAGCTGAAGGTCAGCAGTTATGGCTGGCTGCATCATTATGTCTAAACTGAATGTCACCCACATAGTCACCAGTGCTCAGTATCACACTGGGAGGTTTGGCAGGGAGGGGAGGTACTGCAGACTTCTAAGAAAAACCAAAAGAGAGAGGTTAATAAAGCTGATGCCATCTTGAACCTCATCTAGTCTGTACCACCCTCGAAGATGCAGCCTGAAAGGGTCCGTCCATTCAAGATGGGCTGGGTGAAGGAGAGGCAGCAACATCACCTAGGGAGGGTATTGTTGGCAATGGTATTTCCTTAGAAAGAAAAGAAAAGAAAATGCAGAGAGAGGGAGAGAACAGAAATGCAAGAGCTGAACCTCCCAGCAGGACTGGGAAAATCTCCAAAGAAAACCAGGGAAAATCAGTAACAGTATGAGCGGTTTTGCCCTCAGCCACAGAAGATGCCTGCTAAGTTCTTATTCAAGAAGTGGACTAGCACCGGTTCTTCCACAGAAAGCAGAAAGCCTAGCTGCTAGTCTCCTAGTTTTAATCCACAGCTCTCATATCCCATGAAAGCAGTCAATTTACTTGATTTTGGGGCAGTATTGGCAGGAGCACCTCCCACCCTTTAGAAGCCAGCCATTGTGAAGCCAAAAATGCTAACTACTAAGAGCAGGTGAAGATGGAGAATGAGTGTCCTTATAGACTAACAACCCCATGCGTGGTGAGAGAACAACACTGCAAGTTTCAAGCTGTTGTCTGGGCACAGAGCCCAGTTTTGTAGACTGCTGCAGCCCTCTTACAGGCACCAAAATCCCTCAGGAGAGTTTCAGAGATGCTGTAAGACTGGGAACATTCTCATGTGGGCACCCAAGCCTCCTCTGCACACGAGGGAGTTATACCAGCAGCATAAACCTTCTCTGAGAGGCAAGAGCTGAAATTGTAAACATTTGCTGTGATGTAAGCGTGTGTTTTCCTTAAATCTTGCTACTATGGTATTATTAAATATTATATCTGACCATCACTAGAATCATATAACCATTTCTCACACAAACAAGACCAGTTCCTGTTAAATCAATGAATCCATCTGAATACAAGCCTAATTAGTTCCTTTCCAGAACAAAGATGTCTTAATGGAGGACTCCCCAAAATAATAAGTAAGTATTTTACAACCACCTTAGGTATTTCTTAGGTTACGATAAAAATACTAATTTATCAGTACTTAAAAGCACATGTAATTGTTCTTTTAAATAAAGGAAGCAAACCTGAACATATTTATTGTGAAATTAACTTTTCCATCTATCAAAGTCAGTGCACTAGTTGTTTAGTTCATTAAAATTCATAGCTTTTATATAAAATAATTTTGGCTTTTGTTTTAACAACCACATTTATTCATGGACTTATTACATCCTCAGTACTTCAGCAATATGTACCATAAGTAATTTATAAGGCGTAAGTTGATTTGTTTCCACAATTAGCTTCAATTGTCAGAAAGCTTCTGAGTATGGCAATAACCCCAGGTTTATATTTGCCTGAAGATACAAAGTTTGGTGATTGCATCATTTCGTCATCACAAAAACTATAGCCAGCAGAACCAGTGCCCAGCCCTGATGAAAGGGAGGTGTGAGCTGCCCCTGCCTTTGCAGCGAGATCCTGCTGAGGTGGCCTAGACCAGAAGTTCTCTAGCAGCAGCTCCCTGTCAGCTGTCCTCCTCTTTCATCCCAGCCAAACAGCAGCACAGCGCCTGGGCATCAGAAGGTTTTCAGTAAGTTAAAGCATGAAAAACTCACTATAAACTCACAGGTAGTCTCTGAAGTCAAATATTCACTGTCAACCTCAAAAGTTCAGAGACAAATTGTAAATAATCACTTGTATTCATTTTTTTTTTTCTGATGTTTTACAGAAACTCTACATTCTATAGAAACCTATAGAATGAGAAACCTTCTGATGCTAGCCATACATGTCAGTGGAATCCACTGCTGCTACAAATAAATCTTTCTCTGTTTGTAATGCTGTGTTACTGCTGAGAAATGCCAGGAATGTCCAAAAGTCAGAGGTATGAGGAGGAATGGAAAGAACTAAAATTAAAATCTTTTAAAAATTCGCTTATAAAAGGAAGAAGAGAGGACTGCCATTGCTAAAGTCTTTCTCTAATGTGACTAGAGAGGCATAGAAGTAAGAGAAATTCAATTAGTAAGGTATTTTATTCATATTGTGTCGGGCAAGAGGACTGCTGGCTTCATTTTACTACACTCCAGATGGAAGATTCAGAACATACTGGCTAGGTTAATAATAAGCTCCTACAGGAACATTCAGATTACATACTGCAGTTAAGGTTTAATTCACAATAGTGCAGACAAACAGAAATGCACAAGAAAAGGCTGACAGAATCACTTATCTGGGAGTTCTCTGAGATAATGCCTCATACGGGTCAGCAAAGTTCAGGATGTGTTTTTGCACAGTGATCCTATAGCTTTACGCAGAGGACTGTGGGAGAAGACAGCACTTTTGCTGCCGCATGGGCTGCCTGTTAATGCCCCTCACAAGTGGTAGAAAAGCAGTTCTGTCAAGCTGTGAAGGGACCCGAATATGGACCTGGGGGAGCTACACACTGCGGAATGGCACAGAAACTCACCGGGGCTCCTCACAGTCTCCCTTGGAGAGGGAAGAGTGAACCTTGCCCAGCCTGTGCTGTCCTCATTCCTCTTTAGAGAGGATTTGGGTCTGGACCCCAAGTAGAGGAAACTCTTTCTAGTAGATCTGATCCAGACACCTGCTTAACAAGTGAGCGCAGGATTTCCACTTTTGTCTAGTGTTTCCTATGGCCATCATTAAAAGACTCTCTCCTCAACACATGGGTTTCTAGATCACCACAAAAAATGTCCCTGTAGAAAGCCCAGCTGCCCATCTCCAGCCTAGAGACTCTTCTCCAGGAGCCAGGTCCCCCTTGGGGAATCATCTAACTTTGCAAAAAACAAGAGACCAGGACAAAATAAGGATCTAAGATTATTTCATCATCTTTAAGAAAACTAGTTGAGGCTACAAAATCCTTCAAAGAGTTACTCACCTGCTCAATATCTTGATCACTGATTTCTTCAAGGTACTTTTTAAAAGGATTGGGTTGATAGGGCTCCTCCTTTTGCTGTGCTCTCTTTCCTTTCACCAGCACAGGACGAATAACACCAGGTTTTGTCTTGAATCATAGCACACCCCGGATAAAAGAGATGGAAGAAAAATACGATAAAATATTTTACAATTTACAGAATATTTGTTAGGCAAGTCAATTCCAATGAAGCTGTAGTGACTAGATTTTTTTTTATTTATTTTATTAATAAAATATTTCACCAACAAAATTATTCACGTGTCATGCTGCCTGGCATACTTTTGTTACAGATTGCAGACAAAAATGGCAAGAGCTGTTTTTATGCACAGAACTGCCACACTGACATCTGTTTGTTACTGACACAAAAATAGATGCTGGGCTGTCAAACTATTGTTTGCGGGTTTTGCTGGATGTTTTTGCTAGCTGTTCAGTGCATCTTGATAAGTTCATCAAGTCACACTTTATGCACAGCCATACGTCTGCTTTCATGCTGCAAATTTTGTTCTGGGCTCCTCAAAACATAACTATGAAAAAAAGAAGGAAAACCTGAGATGCTGTTAACTTACACCCAGGCAGCAATATATTAGGGGAAAGTCTTTCTGGGGAATAATACCAGTGATTGCATGCTGGCTTTTGACAGTATCTTTAAAAGCTCACTTGGAAAAGTACAATTTTAGAGAATTTAATCAGCACAGATGTGTGATATCCCTCATTTCAGATAAATCAGATTATTTAATCAAGAAAAAATTTCTTGGTTAGCTACCAGTCAACCAAAAAATTGACTATTAACTTGTCAATTTAGTACATCTGTGGTTTTCAGAATTCTTACAGTAAAGTCTAACATGATGGATTATGGCATAAACTCTAAGTGGAGGCTAGGGGATAATTTTAAAATAGACAACTTGTTCAGTAAGCAAAGAAAAGGAAGGGAAAAAAGTGTACATTCTCACTGGAATTTGGTAAATACTAAAGTCCTGGGGGGTCTGTGATTGAATTTAAACTTCTCAATAACTCAATTATATTCTTCTCTGTTACAGCTATCCCACAGAAAATGGGTGGTCTTTGTGACAACTGATACAGATAAGAACAGGACTGCTGTTGAGCTCCTTCTGTGGTTGCAGCCCAGAGAGGCAGCTTGCCCAGATGGAACTGAGAAATAGGTCCTGTCACAGCTCTCCATCCTCACTACCCAGCAAGGTATAAAAATGCCGAGAAGAAACTCAATTCACCACTAGATCTATTTTTAAGATTTAGACTATGTATATTTAATAATACCATCTGCCTATTTACAAGAGCAATACACCTAAGCAGTCTGTCTGGAAAAAAAGAGAAGTTTACTCTGAAAGTAAGCTTAAAATGACGCAGCTGAGATTGCTGGATGTATCACGTGAATTGAGTTATGGATCACCTTAACATTAGATCAGCAGGCGTCCAGCAAGGACAGGGCAAGAGGGGTGCCCATCGGAGGGGGAGGGTGCAGGAGGCAGGAGACGTCCCCACGTCTTGTGCTTCTGCCTCTGCCCTGGGAAAGGACAGAGCAGTGCCCAGGGGCCGAGTGGCAGGCAGCAGAGGAGGAAGGACTACAACACGCCTGGGAAGAGCAAGGCCCGGGCAGCAGAATATCCTCCCTTATACTTTGTGTTTTGTCCCTCTTTCCTTTCCACAGGTTGGGGCCCTTTCATCTGCCTTCTCAAAGAAGAAACGTATTCAACTGAAAGCAAAAAAGAAGCCATGGTGTGATATTAACTGTTTTAAAAGAGTAATGACTGCCAAATTGCCTTAAAAACTTAAACTTTTTCATTAAGAAAGTCAGCTTAATGAAAGATATGGTGCTCATGTAATGAACTTACAGCCCATAGTTCATGACGATTTCTTTGTAGGATTCACCATAAAATAATTTTCCTCTCCAAGATTTCTGAGAAGAGTTTCTAAAGTGAAAGACTCCTGGCTTTCAATGCAATGGTAAATATAAAAATAAAAAGAAAGCTACAGTTGTTATCAAGTCATCATTATGCAGACAAAGGACCTGTGGCCTTCTAGCACTCCTCCACACCATGTAACCATGCAATTAAAAGCCCATTGAGGTACCTGAAATCATCAAGGATAAGCTACTCTCCTTCTGTAGGAAGCCTCTTCCAAAAGCGCGCTGTAGAAATGCTTTTAAGGAAGCATTTTCCGAACAACACCGTGCACTCAAGTGCTTACTGAGTCATATGTTTATGTTTGACTCTGTTAGCAGAGTGGCAGATATCAGCCAGCAACTAGAATTTGAAAAACTTTATTAGCTCCCTGACAAGCTATATAAAATCTTTGATCCAAAACTAAAAGTTTGAACTCTCTTTGAGAGCAGGTGGCAAAACTGACACTGCTGAGAAGCAAGCTAAGACTTTGTTTTGCCAAGGAAAGTGTTGGTCTTCATACAACAGCACTGAAAAATGGTAAAGGCCATTACAGTAGCAATGGGCTGCCATCATACAGCTACAGCCCTATTAGCAAATTATACATGGCCAAGACTCCAGACCTGACCCATAATCAGGTGTACTGATTCAGTGCCAGAGTGCTCCTTGGCATGGTTTTGGCCAACGTCAGCAAGCGCACAGTCAGAAATAGGAGGACAGGCTGGACCAGGGCACCTCTCAATAGGCAGTATGGACATGGCCACCCTTCTTCAGAGACAGAAGATATTTTGCCTGTATGGAGATGAGCCTTGCGTGATATCTGCCTGAAAAGTCAGAAGACTGAACTTCTCGTTGGCAGGTGTATGGGCATGTTCACTTCTAATTTTTCCTCTGTCATTACGACACTGGTTCTCCCTGAGATTGTGCTCTGGTAAGGACTGGTAAGGTCCCAGCTGCAACCTCGTTCCTCTCAGGAGAGGCCTAAAACCCTCTGAGTCCTATGTTTCTCCCATCCGAGTCACTGTCACTTCCCCTTATCCAGAGTATTCAGAGATCCCCAAAGTATGTAGGATCAGACCCTTCTTTGATAGCTGGCAATGAGCGCAGTCACTCCTTGCGGTGCTCTGTGTCACTACACAGACATTAAGTTGTGCTGGATACCTGAACAGTTTTCCTGTAAACAAGAAAGTTGCCTTTTAATGTTTAACAAGGAATTGGCTTTTTAATATGTTTTTGATGCAGTGCTGTTCCGAAGCAGCCAGCATCCGTGACAACCAGACAAATGATTAACAAAAGTATGACATGATCAGATAAAAATATATAACAAAACAGGAGAGCTAGCCGTGGGATAAAAGAGGTAGCTCCCCTCTTTCTTCCCTTTCTGCTCCGAGTCCATCAGACCTCGCTTGACAAATAACAAGCACCAAGTATGTTTGCCTGCAGAGGCTTCATATCCAACTTTTCTGTACAAATAGTCTCTTGTAGTCTTTGAAGCCTTCTGCTTCCTCACGGAGAGGAACCATTCCCAGTCTTTTCCAACAAACTCATTAGTTTTTGGGAAAGGGACCCTGAGGCAGATGGGGCAAGTATGCAACTCAGCACGTCCCAGCCAGTGCAGTCATCTGTCAGCACTGAGAAGCCACGGTCACATGAGGAGCCTCTAAACTGTTGAGAGCACCTCCTTTCTGATAGTGAGGAATTGGCTCCATTGTCATGAAGGAACATTGCAGTTTCCACCATCAGCAAAAAGATGGTTTTTGCCCTAACAATACAAACATACACGCTTTGTCTACTTGAACTGTGAATCACCTTAAAATATTCCCCTTATATTTCTTTTCTGCCACAAATTAATCTTCACAAAGGGAAATATGTTATTGAACATATTAGTTTATTTTTATTTTCCCTTGTAGAGGCTTTACACTTGCAACAATGCAAAAAAACACTCCAGGCAGTGTATCAGTCTACAATTAAGTTCTCCCTTAGTACATTTAAGGTGTGAAGGCATATAACTGTGCTTAACAGGATTTCCTCTTCCTATGGCTAAGTAGTAAATTATTGACATCCCTTTGAAAAGGCTAGGAAGGAAGGATAATTATTATCTCCACCTCCATGCAGAACCAGCAGCAGGTCTTGCACCAGAGCACAGAGAACAAGGACAGTCACCTGTTTGAAATTCAGGATGTCTTTATGTTGGTTCATACTGAAATATTTTCATTTCAAGAAACAGCTGAATTTTTAATAAGATGTCTGCTACTATACTGTATCATGCTTTCCTCTGTGCTAAACTAAACCAAAGCTAAAATCAGTGCAGGGATGAATCTTTTTCTCAACAGCTGCAGAAAAGGCACAGCCCCACAGTAAGAGCAGCGTGAAGGAGGCACTCACCTCTGCTGTGGTCCTGAGGAAAGGGGACCAGAAAAGGGAGCAGGTTTGCCCAGGCGCAGCTCGCTGCCCAGGCTGGTGGCAAGGAGGGGGCTAAGGGCAAGCCCTTAGCACTGCTGCTGCTCTCTGCTTCCCTCTCTGCTTCCTTCCCTTTCTTTAGGAAGCTCTTTTAGCACATTTAAGTTCCCTTCACCCACATTTTCCTTTGGTGCATCAGGAGTCTCCTTCACTTTCTGCTTTGCTGTGTGATGGCTCAGTATAACTGACATGTCACTTCAGCAGTGCCTGCATTTTGGTGCTTGACAAAGTACAGATGCAGACCCGCAGCAAACACTGCCTTCCAGAAGTCATTCATCTGTCCTCAAAGGCCATGAAATCATTTTAGGTGGATAGATGCACCCATGACCCCTGATTTTATGCTGTACCTGACAACTATGCTGTATTTGATGTCATTCTGACATGAAGTGGATCTTAAAAGATGCTGAATTTAGCACTATTTTACTTTAAAGCAATCATGTCGTAATTCTTGAGATGTCATATTCTTAACCATGATTTAATTCATTTCATGGACCTTTGGGTTCAATAGCTTTAAATGTAGAAAATACAGGAACCTCAGTAATACATGTGCTTCAAAATGAATTAATTAGAGAAAAAATACTTCAAGCTCCCAAGTCACATCTAAAATACCCCAGAACAAAATAAGCCATAGAAATATGTCTAGATGTTAACTGAAACACTCCAGATTTAACTCCTGAACCAGACCATGAGGACTGTTACCGTTTTTCTCTAATGTCTTCCCTTCAAATGCTTGAACACATCCTCTCTCCAGCCTCGAGTCCCTACAACTCCTGTCCACTATCCTTTTCATGCAAGAAACTACACTGTGTTCTTTCTGTTAAACCTGCTCACAAAATACAGAAATGCCATTCTGTATTTGCTCTAAATATATATGATTCCTTTTCTACTATTTTTGCATATAAATACATTTTTATAAACCCCTCAATTTCCCATGGATGACTGATGCAGCATTAAAATATCTGAACCAAAACCACCTACAACGACAGTACCAAGGTATGCAAGACTGGCCCAATGTGAATTTTACCTTATTTGCATGACATATAAAGAAAAAAGTTATTGTTAACGCCAATATTGTGTATCATGTTGGTGTGCTGGGTATGGCTTTCCACTTCGTTATCATGTGTCATTCATAGTCATCTTTTAAAACAGTAGAAAATCTGTTGATGAGAGTCACAGTGGCATGCCCAATGCTTCTCCTGTCCTTTGGATAAAAGTCATATAGTTGAGAAGTATAGATATAACCTGGTCACCATAAATAACTGGTCCCTGGTAGAGCTAGTCAGAGGAGAAGTAGTTGGCTGAATCATAAATGCTGCAAAATTCCTTAGTAAAAATGTTGCTACTGGAGAATCATCATTCATGAATGGAGATCACAGTGTGTTCAGAGACAACATTGCTGTCTGAACAAAAAACACACACAAGAATTCCACTGTAGTGATTCCAATTTAAAACAGGTTAAATAAATTATATAGTTAAATAATTAAAATAGCTATTAAAAAAAAGAAGAAAAAAAATCAAAGGAGCTGCCAAAAGGATGAAATGGTTATAAATGACCAGAATACTGCTTAAGATAGTAATGTTTCGGAGAAGGTGTATATCAGCTTATAAGAAGAGTTTAAGAGATCATCAAATTCTGGATGCTGAAAGAGCAGTGCAAAAAAGTGAAAAAAGGAATAAGGAGGAAAAAGCTCCAAAGACAGAAAGTTGTGTTCAGATACAATCCAGAGGGAAAAAAAAAAGGCGGGGG